ACTTCACTCTAAGATGGATCAGCAATTTCGGATGCATCCGCGGCGTTAAACGATCCACTATAGGGTAGCTCAGCGCGTACAGGTTAGGCTTGCGCGCGCGTGGAGAACGGTGGGGGGTTACAGGTATTGCTGCGGCTGGGGGTGTATTCTCAAGAGGGCCATGTCGAGGCAAGAAGGGCCTGTCCATTGCCCCCGATGAAGGTACCCAGAAAGTCCTAGTGGGCCCGTTTGTTTTGCCGACGCATGGCTTAAATGTTCTGGCCGGCGCCTGGTGTTGACTAGGTCCTCATGGTCTTTGAACGCCGAATATGTGTCTTGGGAGTCTCTGGAGGGGGGGGGGGCTCGGAAGGATCCACGAAACAGCTTCCACAGGCCCAGTGCGAGAGGCACCTGAAGTTTCTCTTAAGGGGGTCACCCAACCACTTTCCTGACGCAGAGATCTCTAGCCCCCTCCACTAATCATGAGATAGGAGCACGGGGCGTAATGCTGCGCTTGTATTCCATTGGAGGCTCGACGGGGAGGGGTGTGCGTCTTTTGGGCTATATCCTTCGTTGGCACATATTTGCCAATCAACAAGCCTGGCGCTGGGCCCGCAGTCGCCAGGACAGCCATTGCATGTGAACGCTTTGTCTTGGGCTAATGTGGATGGTAGACATAAGCTAAAGGACTGGCCGAGTAGTGGCTCATAGTGCCCCCCTGGCCTGTGGCCCACACCCACGCACGCGCGCACTTGCAAACCCCAGGGGCGCCGCCGCACTGATCTGTCACGGTGTGCAGTACTAGTCTCTCGCGCGATGCGGGCGCATGGGGAGATGGCGCACGCCAATTGCATGCTGATAGCATTCGCGTCTGTTCCGGAGCGGTTTGTGGCTGTCGAGAAGAGCATTCTCAGCCCGAGCCCATGGCCAAGTCGTGTGATCCCCTCGCGGGGCCGCAGCCTGTTGGCAAGTGGTTCCAGACGCTCAACCCGAAGAACAGGGTCATGGTGAAAAAACTTATGAAAAGTCTCGGGTCCAGAGTCTGATCATCCAGCGTCAGGCTCGCATCATCAGAGGTTCCAGGACCTCTTTGGGCAACGTCCAGAAGGCCACCAGGGTTGCGTTCGATCGTTGGGGCGCCCTCGCCGACCGCACCCGCGAGTTCACAAATGAGATGAACGACGAGATCGAGACTGATGCCGAAGGCGACGGTCGTCCTGCTCAGTGATGTGCTGCGGTGTCCATGACAACATGCCATATGTGGTAACTTTGCGTTGTGCACGGTGCCGCGTGAGCAGCTCATGCCCCGTCCATTGAACACGCTCTGACCATTGCAACGGTGCTTCGCTCTGTGCGCGGCGTTGTGTCATCTGCTCACGCCCTGCCTGTTGTAAAGAGCAGTTACCACCCGTGCTGGGCGCTGGTCGCAATTTGTGTGGTTACCAGCGCTGCGAGCCTGCGCTCATCCCCTGGCGGAGGCCATTGCCATCATTATCAGCATCACCATCCTCGTGCTCCTCAGTGCCTCGTGTGCGCCCCACGGGTTCTGTGTAGGCTAGGGCTAGTGCCTCTTGGGTCTGAGATGTTGAGACCCACCGAAGGTTCCGATTCACCATGACGTGAACCTCGCAAGACTCATGTTTCTGGAGGGGTCAGTGTGTGGGCCTCTCGGAGTCCAACGTTTGGAACACTTGGAGAATCTCATGAGCCGAGCCTGGGCCTCTCCAGGCCTCATGGGGGAGTCCCATGTCGTCCGCGTTTGTAAGGGCCTCTCGGGGCCGACGGGTTTCATCTTCATTATCTCCGACATCATCCCTACCCAGGTTGTTCATACCGAGAACCCCCATAATGGCAGCGTCGTTCGCATTGCCATCGCGAGGGCTGCCATCGTGATTGGTGCCATGGCCACCGTCTGTGTCATCGTTGTCATCGCAGCCGTCATCATCGCCATTTCTATGAGCACCGTCATCGTCACCATCGTTGCCGCCATTCTCCCTACTATCAGCGTTACCCTGCCACCGCTGCCATCAGGTCACCAAGAACAGCACCACACGCATGGTCAACGTCGTCGTCGAATTGTCGCCGCTACCATCGCCACGGCCACCTTCGTCATGGGATGGTCTGCGCCCCGAGGGATGACGGGTCCTCGGCCCCAGGGGCTTCGAGGTCTATCCATTCGTTGCTCTATGGGCGTTCCAGGGCAACTATCCCGTTGTTTTGCGTGGTCCTGGGTCGCCCAGTCTGTTCGAGGCACGTATCCCCGTGGCGCGCCTGAAGTCGGACTTTCGTTCCGGGCTCTCTCCATGCTGGCCTCGCTGTCCCCGCGCTCTCAACCATCCGTCTGACGAGCTTCGGAGGAGGGCTGTATGTCACTTGCTTCGCTTGTTCCCTGCTCCTCCTCTCTGCGTCGCTCCGCCCTCCGTCGCTGCGCCCTGCGGCTTCAGCGGTTCGCGCCGAGGCGGGTCTTGCAGGGGTTGGGCGAGGCGAGCGAGAGGCAGTGCCAGGGGGTGGAGGGTGAAGAGACGATGTGCTAGGCAACAACGAAGGCGCATACCTTCCAGCCCCGCGCCGAACAATCGTCACACGTAGTCAGTGGAAGCGTCATGTTCTATCCAGACAGTTGACGAATGGGCCCCAAACCCGTTCAACGCAAGGCCCTCGCCAGCAATCCCCCAGGAGGTCCCACATGAACCCCCAGCCGCTGCAGGCCTCGAGCACTCAGCGCGCGCAACACATGCACATAACACAGTCCGCAAGCACGCCGCACGCCAGCATCGCCTATGCATCGGCCCAGCTGCGTCCACATATTGCGCACGTCAGCGCTAAACGCAACCCAGCCCCAAATAAGTAGCACCACCCTCAAAAAAGACGCCACCCCGATGACCCGAGCAAGTCAATACTACACAATGCAATCACGTGCCACGTCCATGCAAGCCACGCCTAAACCAAGTGGCACTCCATTACAGGTGAATGCATATGAGCCCACCGAAGAGCCCTATCTAACCCCTGCCCCTATGCAAAGCATGACCCATGGGACCCCAGGGCAATGCTGACCGAGTCTCTAACTAGTGCAACCTAGTTCCCCTTCGGGCCCAGACGTGTTTCAAATGAGTAGCCTAACGCGGGTCTCGGTGTGGCCTCCACATGTTCCTGGCCCGTTGGGCCCAGCTTGACGATGCACCCCACAGAAGCCCCCCGCGCAAACGTACGCAGTGCCGTTTTGGATTGGGCGTTTCTTCGCCAGGCGAGGTTCTCATTCCATTATTCGAGTGGCCTTTCGTCTTTCACACGCAGCGATGGCGGCCAGGGAGAGGCTTGCTCGCAAGGTCGTCGAGAGGCAGATTGCAGCCCGAGGCAGCGCCGATCCCGAGCCAGGCGATGATGGCGTCGGCGCGGCCATGAGCATTCCAGCCAGCACCTTGGCATCAGGTGCGCCTGGCACCGCGCCTAAGAAGAGGAAACCGCAGGCCCAGAAGGAGAAGGGCGCTGACGCGAAGGCTGCAAGGGTGGCCCGCCAGAGCAGGATGGTTTGCTGCTTCGGCGCCTGCGGCAAGAAGTTGACGGCGGCGGACAAGATGGACAACAAGATCTGCTGCCCCATCCACTATGTGCCGTGGCGCGTTGGGTTCTCGTACATGACCGAGGAGGAGGCAGGAACGAAGTACGGCGAGGCTTCCAAGAAGACGTTTGACGACGCTTCGAAGTACATGAGTGAGCATGACGTCTCGGCTGGCACCTTCGAACCGCAGCATGTCGAGGGGGGCTCCGCGCAGAAGGCTGCCTGCCAGCATGTCATCGGGTTCTGGGCCCGCCCAGAGATCTTCAACAAGTTCAAGTACATGCCAGAGCAGCTCGGGTACAAATGCTTCAAGCTTTGGGGCGAGATGGGCACGCCGACCTTGGGCGTTCTCACGTGTGATCTGGATGGCGCCCCGCGGACGTTCACATTCGAGTTCTCTAAGAGGGCCTCCATATCGAAGCTGCTGGCCCGCCCAGAATCGGCCATCCACAAGGGCCAGTGCGACTTCGTGTACGACAGTGCCAAGGGCGTTTTCCAGGGTGTGCTCGACCCAGCTGGCCCCACGGTCATTCCCAAGTCCACGCTGTGTTCCCGTGCAATCAAGAAGAGGGCGGGCCGTGAGCTGGCGGAGAAAAGGAGGAAGATGGAATATGAGGGCGAGGATGAGGGCCTTGCGATGTTGCTACAGGGTAGCTCGGCGACTGGCGGTGCACATGGCTCCAGTGGAGTCGCCGTTCCGATGGGGGACACTGAGCAGCACCAGGACGACCCCGCCCCACTCGGCCCCATCACTGCGACCCCTGAGAAGCTCCCCGACGGCGTCCGCCCAAGCTTGCCATCATCAGCGGGGGGGCCCAGGGTGGGCGGAGAACTCGAGGATATCGCCAACGAGGTTCCCGATGTTTCAGAGATGTTGAAGACGGACCCCCTCAGGCCAAGTGGGTGTTGCAGATGGCGAAAGTTAGCCTTGCGAAGGCCCTCGCTGGGAGGCAGCCAGGAGGCGTTGGCAGGGAGCGAACCACACTGAATACATTCATCGCAGAGGCCGAGGACATGGGCCGAGAGGAACACATCGCAATGCAGGAGCACCACGACATGCACAAAGAGTGCGAGGCGTATGCTACCGAGCAAGGCTGGCTCACTGCATCAAAAGAGGATCTCAAGTCATTCGCGGAGCGCCTTCAGAAGCACAAGGTTGATCTGCCAACGAATGCGAAGATGGTGTGCATGGCTCGGGCAATCATGGATTGGACGCAGCTTCAGCACGGCATCGACGCGAAGGCCAAGGCGCTCCTGACTATGATCATCCATTGGCTCGTGGCAGACGACACTTGCGGCTCCGATCTTAGCCAGCCCCTCGCTCGGCACATCGAGGGCAACCCCGCGGAGAAGATGGGCAGGTTGATGGGGCGCGCTGATGTCGAAGGTCCTTGCGCCCATGATCAAAGACGGCGCGCGGAGCCATGATGCACTATTGCGCGTCATCGCATCGGTCCTCGAGATGGCCACCGCTGCCCCTGCTGACGACAACCTCAGTTTCGAGCCGTGCGAGGGCCGCGCCGACCAGCGCATATCGGTTTTCCGTGGTAGTACGGTGGTGATGTTGACGGACATCGACTTGCTCAACGAGCGCAGGGCACCCTCGAAGGACTTCGACCGCTTGCAGGCCGTTGAGGCTGGATGGTGCCTCCCGTTTCCCATACTGGCAGCCATGAAGCAGAACAGTCACTACAAAGCGCTCTTGTCAGAGTTCGTTCGCACGCGGAAGGATTGCGGCACCTTGCTGCCTCGCATCGAGGATCCCACGCAGAAGATGTCAGCCGCGACCGATTTCAAGCTCAATGACGACATGGGCCCTATCATGCAGGCGTGGGGTCTCTGCAAGGAGGCGCGGGGCAAGGTTCGACAGGGCCAGGGCGTGAAACTGAGGTCCTTCGTCAAGCGCGCGACGTTGCAGGTGGTGGACGGCGTCGCCGAGCAGATCGAGCAGGGCAGCTTCGCGAGGGAGAAGCTCATGGATCTGAAGGAGTTGTTGGAGGTCACGGGGGACATGTCGTTCAACTTGCCGCGGGGCGACTACTTTGGCAGTTTCATCTCTCGGGTCCAGAAGGGGGGCAGCATTGATAACCAGTGCGCCATGGTGATCAAGTCCATCGGCCTCTTCCCCGTCGATGCCGAGCGGGGGGCCCGCAGTAGGGACATCGCGAGCACCACTGCCCAGTTGAAGGCCGATGGCGAGTTCGGCTTGTCCATTCCCCCTCCAGAGCTTGTGCAGGGCATCGACGCGTTCACTAAACAGATGTTTCAGACGATGGGAACAGGTGAGGACTTCAACGTGACTGAGGGCGCGTGCAGCTACATCGGGAGCGCGCGCGGTCTCTGCGTTGGCCCCCTGGGCGCGAGGCCAGGGATGACTGACGAGCAGACGGGGATGCAGCAATCATTTTCGAAGTTGACGAAGCTTTGGTGGGGTTTTCAAACGGCAGTTGATTACAGGAGGTTCGGCAGCAGTGCGGAGGAGATCTTGCAGACCGAAGAGGGCGTTCTGAAGTTGCGCAATTCCGCGGGTGCGGTGGCGGCGTTCGTTGAGGCGCGGTTGCCTTGCAATCCAGGCTGCCCCGTTGCCGGCGCGCGCGGCAAAGCCTCGCCCTTCCCTTCTGGCCCCAAAGCACTTATCTCTCTCGACAGTCCCCTTCCCCTTCCCCCCCCCGCCTGGGCCCTCGTCAGCTCGTCGCGTCCCTGCGCCCTGCCCCTCCCCCCAGTCTTTACCACGCCCCCTCCCACCCCCCCCCGCCCCCTCAACCTCCAACGCATCCCCTCCCCGCGGCCTCTTGTAGGCCAGCCTTCGCGGAAGGGCAGGCTAGGTCGCGCGCGTCGGTTTTGGAGCGGTTGCGATTGGAGGGCCGCTCAGGCAAGGCCGAAGATCAGGATGGAGTTCGCCAGCCGCTGGCGCGGCCAGTTGGTGGAGTAGCGCTCGGCGATAGCATCGATTGAGTGCGCCAGCAAGGTGCTGGCGGCCAGCTCGGCTGCGGAGAAGGAGTTCCCACGTGTTCTCATCAATGGTGCCGAGAAGGGGGTGTGGGGCGCCGACGCAGGCAACCTGACGGCCGCGACGGAGTGGCTCGAGGTGGCGGCGGGGTCCTTGTTCAAGAACGTGAGGCCATCGACGATCAAGTCCGCCATGGAGGCGGTTTCGACGACGTACGCTGCGGCCAAGCAGACCCGCGACCTCTTCGGCGACGAGGGCCAGGCGCGCAGCGACGCGATGCTGGCCATCAAGGCGCAAATGGGCAGGGCCGCGGTGACGAATGCAGAGCGTTCGCCGCTGGTGTGCTGCAGGGATTCCGGGGGCGCGCCGTTGAAGCTCAAGCGGGGCCTGAAGCACCACATGGGAGCCCTGTCGGAGTCCCAGGTCCTGCTGGCGCCCCCGACCTCGCGGGGCATTTCTGAGGAGAAGGCCGAGGTGAGCAAGCGCAAGGGCGCTGCTCATTGAGGCCAGGTGGGCATCCTTGTGCTCGCTGATTGCGCCTCCTCGCCAAACGATTTCGTTGGTCTGCCTGCCTCGTGTGATGTGGCGCTATCGCGCCTCCGTCGTGAGCTCGCTCAGCTCGCGCATTCATGGTTCCGAGCTGTGTTGCCCGAGGCTGCGGCAGGCCCAGTGCGCGCTAAGAGACCTGATTAATACATGCGAGTACGTGCAAACACTTGGCGTTGCATCACATAGGTGGGGCGGGAGGCGCAGGGGGCAGGTCGAGAGGTTTGGGGTAGCGGGGGAGAGGAGGATGAGGGCTGAGAGCTTGGAGGGTGATATGAGGGCGAGGTGGAAGGAGGGATGGGTGGGAGGGTCCTCCTGTGCGTCTCCGTCCTCCTCCTCGCTCCTCCCATTTCGGCTGCAGTGGTCAGCGCTGTCGTAGGGATGGGCCCTGCAAGCTACGTAGCGGCCGCGCGCTTGCGAGCGCAACGTCGCCTTCATTATCGCCACCGCGGTTGCGAATAACGCTCGACGTAACCACCAAACCTGCAACACGCAGCAATGCCACCATACTAGGTGCACCAATTGCGAAGGCCAATACTTGGCGTTTGCTGCCCCTGGTGCGCCGAAGTTCCTACCAATGCCACGCCAGCGGCTACGGCCACGACCGCAGCCGCGCGCGGATGCCACTGAAGTGGCCACGCGTTACCATCAGTGCCTCCGCTGCTGAAGCCACCGCGTCGGCCACTACTGGCACGGCCGCCGCCGCGTCATCCCTTGCCCGTGGATTTGACGCTTTGCTTTGCTCCTGTCCTCCTTGCCGCTGCCGCGGCAAGCGCCGCTTCGGCGCGCGGGGCTCAGGTCGACCGACGCTTGGTCTCAGCGCAGCAAGCGGCAGCGCGTGCCTGACGCGGCAACGCCAGCTCACGCCGCTGAAAATAAGATTGCGCCGCTATCAGCGGCAATGTGTCGAACCGCGTCGGTGACACCGCCAATGAGGGGTACGCGGCGGTGTTGCCTCTCGGGGCGAATGCGCGGGCAACTGTTCGATGCGCCGCTCGGGATGCGCGGTGGCCTTGCGTGCCACCGCGTTGCGTGCAGTAACGTTGTTGGCGGCCATCTTGGTGAACATACCCGATGGTAACCCATTTGGTGGCGACCTTTTCGGCGAGCATATGAACTAGTAGTTTGTTTTGTGGTGACCATTTTGGCGACCACATGGGTTACAATTTTGATTTTTGGCGACCATGTTGGCGACCACATGGGCGACCATATGGCGACTTCTTTTGTAAAACCAGCCCTGTATTAAACCAGGAACTTCACAAGGCTTGACCTCGCCCCCAGTGGGGCAGGGGGGCTAATCCGCTGAGGGTTCAGCTCGGTTGCGCGACTCATCGGATTATACAGGTGGGTGGCCAGGAGAATGCGCTCACTTGCAAACCAGACGCCCACGACGTCGCTGCCCAATATCTTCTGGGACATGTGGCCCCATCGAGCGAAGACAGGAGGCTGAATGGGGAGGTGGCCCACGAGGCCGCCCCGAAGCTGGCTGATTTGGTTGCTGAAATGTGGGGGCAGCCCTACGAGAGCATGTCGATGCATCAGCGATGGGACAGAGTTTTCTTGGTCGTCCGACAGATCATCTCCTCCTTCATGATAGAGGGTCTACATGTCGTTTTCCCCGGCCAAGACGTGAACCGCCCTGTGAAGGTTGGGGGCTTTGACACAGACCAGAGGCGGGCAGATGCTTACACGTCCGACTGCCGCATCAGGTCGGCGACTCAATCGTAAGATTTGTTGGGGGAGTGGACGGAAGGCCTAGGTCCGCCACGAGGTTTGATGCTTCTGTGGCGAGATCCAGCACGCCATGGCGTTTATCGTCTCGGGTGGCACCGCCAACCCAATGGCGAGAATTCGCATGGCTACGGGTCGTTTTGGCGATTTCGTCGTCGCCGCGGCCATCGGATTTACATGGATCATAGAAAGGGGCGCGGCGGCCGCCGGCTCAGCCGATCCTCCCGCCAAGGCCCCTGGCGGCTCTGCCGCTTCGGGGGCCGACGCCGAGGCCCCCGGCGGCTCTGCCGCATCGGGGGCCGACGCTAGTGCCTCCAGCGGCCCTGCCGCTTCGGGGGCCGACGCTGAGGCCCCCGGTGGCTCCGCCGCTCCTGGGGTCGAATGGCGCGAGGGCCCGCGGCGCCGAAATCGCTTGATGATCTAGGTAAGGGCGAGGGCGCGCGCGCGACAGCTCGCGCGCCCGTGCGGCACGGCGCCCGCCCGCTCAGATGGGGCTGTCGCCGAGCCCCCGAGGGGCGCCAAGTCGGCGGCGCCTTCCTCGGAAAAGGGGCGAGTGGAATTGGCCAGCGACAGAGGCGGCTGGAACTCGCGGGACTACGCCGACAGGGACGACTGCGGCCGCATCAGTGGTCACTGGGTCCACGTCAGCCGCCACTGGTCGATGGCTGGGAATTGAAACATGGATGCGGTTCGACCTGCTGAAGTACAACCAACTCTCCATGAACGAGCCCAAGGTTGCCTCCAAGGGTCAAGAATGCAGGTCTCGCCGCCCAGCTTGGACATCTGGGCTCGGAGCAGTGCCTGCGGGAGATCATGGGGCAGAACGAGGACAAGGGCACCTGGCAAGGGCACGGGAAAAGGCAGAGACCACCGCGGACAATGCCCTTGCGGTCAGTCCCAGTGGAGTTGGCAGTCGGATCGCGACTGGAACCATCGGCGACGGCATCACGATAGATGTTGGAAATGAACATGCGCAGATGATCTGGCACGACTGAGCCGTCAGCAGGCCAACGCCGCTCGGCCTCGCCGGCGCGATGCGCGAGAGGACCGGCGGAAAATAGCTTCAAGAGCTGAACTGATGCGCGGATGTAGCTGGGCAGGATGCGTCGGGCTGCTTCGGCCTATCGCCCCTCGGCGCCTCGGCTGAGCTGTAAAATATGTTATTTTGGGCTTGGCTCCCGAGGATTACGGGCCGAGTGGGTGTAGGTCGACGCAAGCCTACTCACCCCGCCGCGGGGGGGGGGGGTAATGCGCTCCTCTCCGCACCCCCGTCTGACCGCCGTTGCTGCTACTCTTCGCGCGCTGATTGGACATCTGCAGCCATGCTGATTCGAGAGATCAGGGATAATGGGGCGTGCTGCCGCGCGCGAGCGCCGAGTGTCGCCCCCTCATCGCCGTCCTGTCGTCGGCCGGCCGGCCTCCGCTCTACCGCGCATCTCTCTTATCCGCTTGGCGGAATCTACCTTCCAAGCCATGGCCTTGTCAAAGCCCCCATGAACATTCCCCCCGAAACCTATCTTCGGAAAATCAGGGGACCATATCGGGATATATTGCCTGGGTAGCGATCATCCACGCAAAAAGCTATGAAACGACGTCGAGGACGACGAGTCGGAATCGAAGGTCATGTCTTATCGCAACCTTGACGTCGTGCTCGCGTCGGGCAGCTACCCGCAGAGCACCGCCCTGCCCGGCTATCGCCGCGCCGCCTAGTGCGCGCGGCAGTGCGCGACGGCCCCGACTTGCCGAAAAAGCTCGGGGAGCTCGAGAAGGCCCGCGAGGCACTGCAGCGGGCGGGTAACATTCAATGGTAGTGATCGGCCGGCGGAGATGAAAATGATCAGCCCGCTGAGCTCGTGACTGGACCTCCCTTTGCCTCGCGTTTCGCGTTGCCTGTATAGTCGTCGGGCTGGGCCCTGCCGCTGAGGATCATCGCGGTCCTGAAAGCCATCGAACAACGCGTATTATACCTGCCTGCGGCGACTCCGATTTCCGCGACATTCGCCGCGTTTTCCGCGATTTCCGCCGACCCCCACCTTTCCAGGAGGTCCTGAGGCCCGCGGGCCTTCGTGCCGTCTTCGGCCCGCTGGGAGTATCTTGGAGGCATCTTTGGAGCTTGGTCATCTCGGGCGGCAACTTGGGAATCCTCTTGGACTTCGAGGGCTCCTTTGGGGCCACGGGAGCTGGAGGCGGAGGAAGAGATAGGACAGGGTGAAAGGCGCAGGGGGGGGGGGGGGCGACGACCGCCCCGACCACCGCCACGACGACCGCGTCCTCCACTTTTCTGCGTCTTGGCTTCGCGCCGCAGCGCTTTGAGGAGGCAGTGCTCTCTCTCGGTCAGCACTTCCATGGTCATGGGCCTGGTGTTGCTGCTGCTGGATGCTGTTGGCGCCATTGCAGTTGGTGGTGCTGCTGCCCTGCTAGTGTTGCCGGTAGACTTACTGGAGCTACCGGCGCTGCCGCTGCTGTAGTCGTCGCCGCCGCGTCCGCTGTGTTACTGCTGTTTCGCGCCAGTGCGAACTGAGCTGTAGCTGCGCTAGTGCGCTGGTGCTGCTGCGCGCTGGCGCGAGCTGTCCCGCGGGCGCCGCTTGGGCAACGGTGCCGGCAGAGGTATTGCCCCCCAGCTCGGCGGGTCGGGCCGAAACCGCTATAGACTACGGATTGCCCCCGCGCCTTCATGTTCGACGCCGTCATTTTTCATCATTATCAGCATCGTTAAATCTCTTCTTGCGCTTGCGGGGGTCGCAATTCGCTCAAGTTGCGCGTTTCGCAACTGACCTACGGGGCGTTTTACTTCCTTTTGTCGTCTCCCATTTTTTATTGTCCTTCCTTTTTCTCTTGCTCCTTCTCTTCCTCCGTATCTTCGTCCCCCCGACCCCCTTTCCCTCCCCTCCTCCATCTCCCTCTGCTGCACCTTGACACCCCCCTCCGCACTTCGGTGGCGCCCAGACGGATTGGTCATCGGTGCCCAGTGGGGCTTGTCACTAGCGCCCCGGGGGGTTGTCAGAGGCGCCTGGGGGACTTGTCAGTGGGCGCCAGGGGGTTGTAAGTGGGCGCCTGGCGCGCGTTTGGGGGTGCCCGCAGGGCTTGTCAGTGGAGTCCGGGAGTTTATTAGCGGGGGGGGTGTCAGTTGCGTTTTGGCGCAGGACAGAAGGAGTGAGGCGCGCCACCCCCAGTCCATGCGCATAGCTAGAGTCCATAGTTGCCCAGCCAGCGAGTCTGCGCTCACT